GTGTGTGCGTGTGTGTGTGTGTGTGTGTGCGTGGGGGGGGTGGCTCAGTGCTTGTTTCACAGCTCTTGGGGTCCCTCTGGAGGGCATAGGATAGAAGCTGTTTAGAAAAAAAAACTTCTGATCAACACTTGGGAAAGTTGTCATGAATTAATACTGGAACTATGAAAGACAGTAAAAAAGAGAGAGAGAGAGAGAGAGAGAGAGAGAGAGAGAGAGAGAGAGAGAGAGAGAGAGAGAGAGAGAGAAAGAGAGGACTTTATAAATCGCTTATTCTGTTATATAAGTTGCAGTCATGACGGAGGTTATTGTTGTTGTTTGTGGAGCCAGGCAGAATGTCACATTTGTCTTCACTGCTGCTGCCTCTGCACTGACTCTGCAGGGAGGACTCCTCCTCCCCCTGCAGTCCCCCAATCATGGAGGTCCGGTTGGCACCGCTGCTGCCTGAAGGCCCCATCTGAGCCGCACCACTCAGGCTGGCCTTATGGGATCGAGGGTGCGGCGGCGTGTGATTGGTCACCGGGGTGGTGGTGCTTTCACTGAGGCTCTCCACTGTCACTGATGACTGGCAGACAAAACACAAACACAAAAGTTACATTCAATGACATTTCAGAAATTGTAATTTAATGTACTGATTTATGGCAAATACTGCGTTTTTGATGGAAATCAGAACTCTTTTGAAACATCACAGAGCAAAAGCAATGTGACAAAATAAAGTAGAATTGAAAGCCCTTCTTGGTGAATGACCAGTATAGTAAAATGTTAAATGTTGAAACCAGTTCTACTCACATTTCCCACAGAGACATCACTGCTTGCATCAGTCGTCTTTTTTCTCGCCATGTTGGGATTCCAGTGGCAAACCAGACTGTCATTCTGGACACTGTAGTTCTTATGGCCAATCAACCAATATGTGTTCATTTTGCCTTTACCCTGGCAGGCGGAGGCAGAGGGATTTTTAGATGCAATAAATAATTTGGACCATTGGGAAATCACAGTAAACCTCGTCGTAGGGAAATTGACTTGGATGACACATATATTATTACCGTATTAAGTCTGTGGTGAAGGTAAAGAAAAAGGATTGGCCACCCTTGCACTCACCTTGACTTCAATCTCTCCTCGAAGCTGCAAATCGTAGGCATAGTCTTTGTTCAGGGCCAAGTAGGTTGCAGAACTTGTGTGGATTTTTTGAGCTGTCGCAATGTATAATATAACATCCTATTTAAAACACACATACAACTTGGGACAGATCAAGATTTGCATGAATAGAAATATACATTATATCCCAAAAAACATTTAGATCGGTAAACCGCTTATAATCAGAACTTTTTTGATTTGCGGTTTTCGTCACTTGAAAATGACCTGGGATGTAACAAGCAGCTAGTCATCATTTATTTCTGCTTTGTGTGGATAGGAATGCGCATTTGAGACTAAAGAGAGAGGTGAAAAAAACTTAATAAATGAAAAGAGCACAAAGTGCAGGAGTGGAGTGGGACAGTATCATCAGTTACTACATTGCATGTCAGGATTTTCAAATCAGCTGGACATGTTTTTTGGGGGGTTCATGTTTGGCCTTGCTGGAGGTCTGTATCATATTTCACTTCCTGCATGCACTCCATCACATGCAGTGATATTTCATGTGGTTGTCATTGAAGAATTTTTCTCCATGTTTTAAAGTACCGTATGATTTTCAAACAAATCAAATCACATACATGATTTCGCTACCATTGGCCTCCAGCTTCAGTGATCTATGACACCGGTGGACGCGTCAGGTTGGCACTATTCCGAACTGTGTTTCGGGGTGTTCATTGAGGTATTTTTCCATTTGGAAAAAGACATACTTTTCTTGAAGCCTTCACCAATGAGTATATACGGTATGTTGACTACCCAATGGTGAGGTGGTGGGTTTCCATATTTATAACAGTGCTTCAACATTTAAATTTGACATTAATGACTGGTGCACGTGCTTATCGCTCAACATACGCAGACTAGTGGACTCCATTCTAGATGCTGTATTCACCGTATCCCCAAACAGACAATATCTAGGCATCTTGTAGCCCACGATTCCGGCCACACATGGACCTGATCGGCACACAAAACAATACCAGAAACACATTGGAGGTAAACGACAACAACAAAATGACACCGAGCCAACCCATGCCCATAAAATGCCTTGACCTGTGTGAATTCCAGCTCGGAGCTGCAGCCTCTGTTTGGGCATGTGAGGGATGAACACCTGCCGGACGGCTGCAACCAGATCCAGAGCCATCTTGGCAATCTCGTCAGCATGTCTGTCCCCGTTCCTCTCGGGGAGTCCACTCACCACCATGTATGCGTCCCCAATTGTCTCAACCTAGGTGAAACGGCGTACAAAACAATAGTAACAAAAACCGGGATGTTTTTAATGATAACTTCAATTGTTACAATAATACAGGTGCATTATTTGCACGACTATCGGGGTCATGCAATTGCAAGCTAAGCACATTTGTGGATTTGCCTTTATTAACCCCACAAAATTCTGTTCATTATTTTATATGGATGCTAATCTCCTTCACTTGATAATAAAATGTGGTGATATGATACTTCACTGCTTTGACTCAATAAATAAACATTCTTACATTGGTTTTTGAAATTAATGGCTTTTATACAACTATGAATTGAAATCGCAACCCTTCCAGTCACCATTAATCAAAGTTACAACAGTAACAACTTGCTTAAAATCAAACAATTATTGTGATCTAAGAGAATCAAGCTTTGTCGTTTCCTTGTGTTTGCCATCTTAAATTTGTGTTTGTGTGTTTTCTCGATCCTGAATCACCTTGTATACATCATAGGAGTCTATTCGTGTGTCAAAGCAAACGTAGAGGTTGTTGAGCATCTCCACGACTTGTAAAGGAGTGCAGGAGGCTGAGATGGAGGTGAAACCCACAATGTCCGAGAAAAAAATGGTCACCTAGAATAGAATAAATCAACATTTACTTTGAAGTTTCCTTTTGGATTTTTTTCCACAGATACAGAAGGCTGGGGTGAACGTTGGTAGTGGAAAATATCTGCTTCACATAAAGAACTCAAAATGTGTTCATTTTGAGTTCCCATCCCACACCGCTGGTTGTTGAAGCTCCAAACAATGATATCATTTCAGTCTGTTTTTGCAACAGTGCTTGCTCTTTAAAAAAAAAAAAAAAACTACATATTGATGCTCATTTTCCAAATAATTCGTTTTTGATTATGTTTTCTGATAGTCCAAAGTTCAACATCAGTTTGAAAAGGAGCTTTCAGTATATTTCACAGCATTAGAGCCGCCCAACCCCCACACTCCGCTGCACCGAGTGCTTTTAGTACAGCTGTTCAAACCTCTTCAATAAGCCAAATGCAATTTTCACCTATCAAACTTGTTTTATCTTCTGATGAATATGGAACAGAGCAATTATAGGTAATTACGTCAACAATAGCTACAAAGGGAGCAAAGACACGTTCATTCAGCGTGTCTGCAGATGATGCGATGGTAGCCTCCTGACAGCAGCCTCAATATTAAAAGCTCAGAATGTGTTTTCAAGCAATCAGAGAATTTATGGACTGGAACATGATACAAAAGCCTACATCACAAAATAAAAGGATATCTAGAAATCTTCAAGCATGAGAACTATGTTTTTTTTTTTCCTGACTGATATGCCAGATTCAAAATCAAAATTCAGTTGGAAGTGACTTGGCTCTAAATAACTCGTCTCGAACGACTAAATTTGGAAAGTCTCATGTTTTGCTTTCGAGTCAAGCGAAGGGTTAAAAAAAAAATCTAACAGCTCAAAAGAGCAAATATCAAAACAGAAACCTGGATATTGGGCCTGATAAGACACCAGATTGCCTCAGAGCACTGCAGTGTGACTCTTGAGCAAGGGACCTGATCAAATACACGCCTATTGTGTTTCCACCCGCTTGTATATTAGAATGCATGAGAAAATCAACGCGATGTTCATTGCGGCTTTGTCCGTGAATTTCTAGCACACCA